GGACAAATTAACATAATACAGAACAGGGGTATAACAGTTGTTGTGCGAGTGGAATAACAATCATTGTTGTGAGGCCATGTGGGTCAATTTTGATAATCTGAATCGTTCAATTTTTAGGGTATATTTAGTAGAATATGCCTGTAAAAAAAAAAGAAAATCAAGTTGATCGGACATTGATAGTCCTTTCATCAAATCACATTTTTGTATCTAAAAAAATAAATGGTAAATGTGAATTTAAGTGTAAAATTGAAGCGGAGAAGGTCGCATAACAGTGGTTGCTATGCCTTCTCAAAAATATCTCCATTACGTATAAATATTACAGTTTTAGGAGCCCAAATGTGTAAATAATTATTCTAATCTCCAAAATATTAACAAAATAATTAAACTCAATATTTTAAAATAAAAGAAATTATCTACGAGGCGTATCTGTCAAATCTCAAATTGAAATGGAAGACCATTCTCGCAAACCGATAAACTAATTCGCGTAAAAAATTAAACAATATAATTATGCATAAAGAAAATTATCTAGGCCTTGATTATATTAAATTAAAATTTGAATTGGCTCGATCCTTACAATTGAAAACCTCAATCAACTGTACCGATTGCTACAACTCAGCCCATTCATAGCAACAAAAATCTAAATGGTATCTCATTGCTTTGAATATATATATGGATAAAGCTTGGGAGCTCGAATGAGCTCCCCCCCGAATCCCCTGAAAATGGAAACAGAGGGAAACAGAGGGAAAAGAGAGGGAAAAGAGGGTGAAGGCGAGAGAGAGAGAGAGGGAGAAAGAGAGAGGAGAGGAGAGAGGGAAATAGAGAGAGAGAGGGAGAGAAGCTCGGCCGATCGTCGGCCGATCGCCAATCGTCACAGCAGCTCGCCGATCGTCGCAGCAGCTCGGCCTCCGTCTCGCCTCCGCCGCGCCTCCGCCCCTGGTTTATGCCCCCTCCTATCCAGTTCTCCCTTCTCCATTCCCTTCTTCTTCTTCTTCCTTCTCTTCTTCTTCTTCTTCTTCTTCTTCGTTTCTGATTCAACCCCAAAAAAAAAAAACAAATGAAAAAACGACGTCGTTTTTTAAATTAAGGGGATTCGGGGGGTTGATTTCGAGCTACGTAGCATTACTCTATATATATATATATAACTAGAAGTATTTGAAGCCCAGAAGGCCCACCTGTCATGTATCATTCACTGAAATAATGGGCCACCAACGGAAAAGTGTAAGTACCCAAAAACTTGTCCCTTCCACCCCTATTGGGCCTACCAAGCAACTGCCCAGTCCGTTGACCAAAAATAAAATAAATTAAAATTAAAATTAGAATTCACTACAGAATCACGTTGAACGCAATTATGAAAGCTCTGTCTCTCGCCTGCACATGCGATGGACCTGAAAACAGAGCCTAAATTTTTTCCCCTCCCTGTATATATATACAAACAATACTTCACTTCTCTCTACAAACACCTTTCACACCTCTGCACTTGGAAGAGCTCTCTCTGCTTCGTCACCATAATCCGGCTCGGTAATGCACCTCTTACTCACATTTACACATAGTTTTTTGAAAATTTTCATCAACTTTTGTTTCCAAGGAATGAATCAAGGTTTTCATTTCTCTTATGTTGCATTTTTAGTTCTGATTTGCATTTACGTTTTCTGTGAATTATATATATAGCTTTCTCTCTATATATATCGACACGCACGGTGATTCTTCCAATATCTCTCGCTCTTTCCAATTTCAGAGTGATTGACTTTCTGTTTCTGTTTTTGTGTGATTGATTTTGTTTCTGTGCTTTTCTGTGAATATATATATATATACATATGTATATATTTGTTTAATATCTCTCATTCTTTCCAATTTTCAAGCGATTGATTTTGTGTTTCTGTTTTTGTTTATGTTTTCATGTGATTGATTTTGTTTCTGTGCTTGTCTGTGAATATATATATATATATATAGATCGACGAATGGTGATTGGTATAATGTCTCTCGTTGTTTTCAATTTCGAGCGATTGATTTTGAGTTTTTTTGAGTGATTGATTTTGTGTCCGTGCTTTTCTATGAATATAGATATATATAGCTCTCTCTATATCGACACACATGGTCATTCGATTATATATCTGCATATCCAGGTTCTTGCAATTTTTCTGTAGTTGATATTATTTTATTTTTCTGTAAATGTTGCGAACAATTGATGCAGTTAGGTTTTAGAAATGAATGCGGTAAAAGATAGGGTCGTGGAAAAAAAGAGAGAGACAAGGAAACAAAAAAAGCATGATCATTATTTGTAGATCAATAATTATGTGATATGGATGATCAAACCATATCTAACTATGGACATATTTTCAAAAAAAAAAAAAAAAGGGAAAAACAACGAAATATATATATATATATATATATTATATTTTTATTTGTTAGTGGATTAATATTACATTTATAAGCAATCAAAATTAACAAAAATTAAGAATAAATTTTTTATAAAAAAAAGAAAAGAAAGAATGACCACTGTTAAGTTAACTCTTGTCATCTATGAAACACGGACACTTCTAAGGTGGCATGTCCGCGTTGGACACCGACACTTTTCAAACACTTCCCGACATGTGTCGGACACTCGTTCAAATATATCCTATTATTTTATTTTTATTTTTTTTAGAATTGGACACTCTTCAGACACTTGGGGGATACATACGTCCATGAGTTACATACACAAAATTATCTAGGGTACAAAGACAAAACAAAAATAATGTACATCTACAAAAATTAGTATTAAGTTGCATTTTTTATTGTCTTTCAATATTATATATATATATATGACATATAATAAATACATAAAACTATATATTTTGTGTGTTCTCCACGTGTTATGTCATGCTTTTTTTTAAAATTGTCGTGTCAACATGTCCGTATCCATGCTTCTTAGCTTGTCGTTTATTTAGTTATTTTTTATCGATAATCTATTAATTAAAAAACTAGTTGGTGTGTCTCTTAAAAAAACTAATTAACGTGTCCTTGTTGTGTTCTCGTGTCCGACATTGCTATGGCACATGTTTTAGAGTGTCGAGGCTTCATAGAAACATTCATTGGAGGGTCATCCGGATCGGAACTAGGTCTGGTCACCGGTTCAACCGGTAGGTCCAGTCCGGTTTTCAAAACCTTGGAACCATATTAATGGACTTGGGTTGCCTTCGAAATTTATTTTAGTCAATTTATCTACTCTTAGGCACCTTTTTTCTTGGACTTATTTATACTAATTTTAAGTATATATTACATGTTTTGTAAATATAAAATTGCAAAAACTGTAAAGCTTATGCTTCAAGACCTGAGGTTCATGATTTGCCTCACCAAGGTTTGAATCTAGAATGCCTTGCCTAAGGCTTTCTTGTTTTAATCATTGATCCTTAGTAAGGATTCTTAATTTTATGTTGGGTCACAAAAGAGGCAAAGCCAGTCACTCTGCTCCCCTTCTCCATAAGTTTTCATGTTTTGTTTCTCTCGCTCTCTAAAAATTTGTATCATTCAGGCTAAACATGAATTAAAAGTTACTTTGGCTGACTCAAATACCAAAGAGTGCCCTAAGAAACTTAATATCAAATATATGCATTTCAACTGTGAGCTTTTCTGGGTGATGTTGAGCCTGTGATTGTATTTTGCTTGTTCTTTCTTTTGTAATACTTCTTAATTGACTTATTATGATATATTGCATTGCTCTTCGAACACTCATTTTAACACCCCTCCTCCCTTCCCTATCATCAGTTGGATAATTTGTGAATTATCATGAACAAAGTAAATTTTGTTTTTGACTATTTTGTAGACATGAATGTGTGTTACCTCACTTGTTTTCTTTCTTTCAAATATTTTCCTCTTTTCTGATTGTTTTTCCTTTATAGTCGTTAGATTTTTCTTGTGTTTCTGAAGATTGCATCTGAAGATGGAAGGGGTACGTATACTCATTTTGTTCTAGTTGTTTGACATTCTATGAATTTCTGTTGGACTTATTCTTGAGTTGGTTGTTGAACTTGGCAGTCCGACCTTTTTGACGAATCTCTACAGGGAAGTCAAGCCATTGTTTTGATTGCCATTGACAGGTTGACCAACAAAAAAAAGGCATTAAAGAAGATCTTTTTGCTTGATGATGAGATACCTTGCAGTGCTAGCCGTGAAGCTTCATTGCTGTTTGATTTACGTCACCAAAATATCGTGAGGTAAGCATGACATTTTTTAAAACTCCATGACATAACCCCTTGATAGTAATCATATTAGTATTGTTGGCTACATATTTTATGCAAGCTAGTGACAATTCGACGCGTGGCAAAGTAAGGGTACTATGGGGAGACAAGTCAAGTCTTCGATCCTGATCATACACGTGGCAGTTAATATTGGTTGGTATAAGATCTGAGTAGCATCGGATCAACAAAGAGATGCAAGGTGACGTGGCTTCAACGGTTACTCACATTCAAATTCAAATATAGGAGGGAAGCCTAACTGCAAGTGAAGGCGTAGTGGAACTACTTATAAGGTAGCATGATCAGCGATCACGGAGGAGCAATTCGACGGTTTGAAGTGTAGTTCGATGGTTATCTTTGAAGAGTATAAATAGCAGGAAGGACTTCAGAGAAGGAGGCGAAAAATCTAAAGAAAACCAGTCTTACTTTACATATTCCAGTTTTATTTCCTGTTCTTTACATTTCTATACTTTAAGTTCCTGCACTGCACTTTCAAATTCATAAACCAAACACAGTATATTTTCTTTTGGACAGACATGTTGGCCTATTGCCAAAACCACATTGAAAAATGCTTCGGACCACCACTGGGGTCCACTGGGTGACACCCAGGATGCAGTGGGCTGTGATTGGCTAGAATTTTTTTTTTAATTTTTTTTTCCTCCAATCGCCAACCCCCACATGGGGGGAAGGTGGGGTTCTCAATCATGTTTGAACCACATTTGAGTCACAAGACAACCCTTCAAACCAGAGGAAATATATATATATATATATATATATATATAAATTAAAAAAAACCCTGAGGAAATCAACCTCAAAATAATATTCTCATCTGATTTCTGTAAGGACATTCGAAAGAGTAGAAAGTACAAAACTGATGCAACTTATTATATGCAAGAGAGAGAGAAAAGGGAAATGAAAAGGGTCACTTTTCGTTACCTTAGGAAGGTAAAAATGGACTGCTTTCAGGATCATATATTCCTGCAAGAAGAGCAATCAGAACCCAGAGCATGAGGATGCTTACTATGGCAGATCGCAAAACCTGATCATAATTTCCATTCATGTGTGTATTGGTCATATTGCTTGGATGAGGTGATGACATGTTGTCACAGCTGACCACATCATTCATTTGAGGCGGTCCCATATTGCGAATGCTGAGCTTTGAACATCTTATACACTTGCAAGTGCCACCAAGATATGATGGGAGTGTGGGAAAGTTCTCCATGAGAACCTCCTGGTACATCTCCCCTTCAACTTTCAACTTTTGCCGAGTGACGGGCTTCAGAACCTGAGGGAGATCCACAAACCACATTTGTACATAAACAAACAGATACTCAAGATTCCATGACTAAGAAACGATAAATAATTATGTTTTAATTAGGATAATTATATTCGCACACTACACTTTATTTCAGTAAACACCATTTATGCCATTCGGATATCAATTTCAGAACAAAAATCCAATGTTCAGAATATCAACTTCTAAACAAACCCAATTGTTTGAACAAAAATCCTCTTCAATAGTTGATATCCAAACATTTATTGTTTTGTTAAGTTGATATCCAAACAACACAAATATTGAGTACTGATATAAAGTGTTGTATGCAAATACAATTACCCTTTTAATTATCATATCTACAAATGGAACAGGAAGCTAGAAAGGCATTCATTCAATCCTCATTGGAGGAAGGAGCTTACTTGAATAAAAGTTTGTGCAATAACTCGAACATCTGGAGGAAGCCGTATGGCAAACAAAAAGCCAAGCCGATTTGGGAAGTGATCTTGAAAAATAGCAAAACATGATCTCATGATTTGAGTGGGAAATCTCAAACGTGACATTCCTTCGCAATCCACCAAAACAGTAATTTGAGGATTTTCACGGTCAACTAAATGCAGAATTCCATGCTCTACTTGCGATACTGTAATTAGAATGCAATCATTAACTGCTTTAACATGTTTCCACTAGATAGAAAAAAGTGAAAGAACGAAAAAAATTTGACAGAAAAATCGAGGTAAAATATAACCTGTTTCCACTGAGGTAGTTGTCTTCTAGGTTTAATGTTCTCATTTAGCAAGGGACATAATATGGTGTGACCACATTGATATGTATTGTCACACATAACCCACCCCTTTGCTATCTAAAATAGTGCTATTAATTTGAAATCATTGCTGGTCAAGCAAAATCAACTAATGCAATTCTGAGTGGAGCAAGGTGTAACAATTTTCCTCAGACACTGGGACAGGTTATTCAAGCGCGAAGACAGCCGATTATGGCAAGCACATCCCAAGTTTTTTTATGCCAATATGATAAGAGTTGAAAGTGCAATCAATATAAAGTCCCAAGCAATAAATAGAAGGTAACAGCATAAAATTAATGGTGCCTCCACATCACTTTGATCTAAAGTTGTTCAATTGATGTTTATGATTTATGAATTGGCAACATAAAAACAGTGGCAATCCGCCAGATAAGCCAAGAAATAGTGCTACTCATGGATAAAGTTTTTCATCAACTCATAAATAACTATGACTACACAATACCATCGTATCAAA